TTAACACATGGAAGAAATAAGCTTTGTGTAAATAATGTCATCAGTGTGTATTAACGTATTATAAACCATGTTTCTGTCTATAATTTGTAGTTCTTTGTACCAAGGATCAACCATACCATCCATTACAAATGCAGGCTTTACTTTCTGCTAGTAGTGCTATTTAGTGGTCTTGGTTCATTGGTTCCTCATATTTCATTGCAAGTGTACCATACAGGAACTGTCTCCTTTTATACAAGACACTCTTTGTAGTCTCTTTTGATATGAAACACCCACACTGGTACCTGTAGCCAGAGACCCTATAATCAAGGCTGCTTTGGATTTAGGTCAGAAGCAGCGTTTTTTTAAATTTATTTGCAGGATAGAGGTACTACTACTCAGAATACTAAAGTGATTTGGTAATGCTGACATCTGCCCTATTGAATCATGTGAAATGTACATTTTATTGATAGGTCCACTTAAACAGAAAGGAAAAAATCTAAGTCAAGGGTCAACTTTTAGGTGAAAAGGTTAATGTAAAAAAACTCACTGAGAACCCCTTTTTGATATAAAGCAAAAGGTGGTATTTGTGTATTTGATTCTTTAGCTTTCGCTATCCTTGTCAACAAGGTTAAGTGGAACTGCAACTAAAGCTTCTGTTACTGGTAACCATACAGGAAGTGTGACAAATCTCCCCAGTGGGGATAAAGAAATAAAACCTGGAAGAGGCCTCAACCTCTCTCTGTCTACTAAAGAAGTTATTTTATTCAAACTTTGCCTCCATTGAAAAGATTTCCCTGTTTTCATTTCCTGGTAAGAAATCACCACATGGCACCAAAAAAGTAGAACCAGTAGTAACCCTCCTTAACTGTAAAAACAAGTTTTAGAGTTTGGTTTAAACATGACTATGAATAATGTATATATGTGGGTAACCAATCTAAATGTAAATCCATATTGAAATATTCTGTGTTATTTTACAAATATAATATAACGCTTAACACTGCATGTAATTGAACATACTGCTAGCTCATTCACTAATCTTATTTTTATGTTGCCTTCTTTGACAATTCAATGAGAATTATCAAGCAATGCACCTGGTATATTTAATCTTGGCCAATAAATGTTTGATTGATTGAAAGGTTTGTGCGCACAGACATGACATTTCATACTATATAGATTCAGTATGCTATTAAAAAAAAGGTTTATGTGCTTGTAAAGAGCAATAAATACCAAGCTCTATGAACGGTGGAAATTGGTTTCACTAAGTGACCTTGCATCATGTTGATCATTTCCTTGTAAATTTAAAATACCCCACTCTGTAAATATTCACAGGACTCTTGTACATGTTTTGCCAGTGGCCATGCATTATTTAGAACATTTGTCAGGCAGTTTTGTTTAAGGTTGTTTTCACTTTCATGGGGAGGGTAGAAATAGGTCCACTTACCCCGTTGTTACTTAGACCCTTAGAAAAGCTAATGAGGGTTTTCAACCTCATGGTTAATACAATTGGTTAATACTTACATACATGGGCATTTGATCACATGATCTCTGTTAGGGGAAGTATGTATCCTCAGAATGGCTAAGCCTCCCCTGAACTCATATGATGATGAAATGTGGTCCTGCTGCTGCTGTGGTACTGCTCATCTCTCTCCCCCTCCAATCTGGAGGTGGAATATCCTTAAGCATCCTCAGGTCTAATTGCATTAGACATGATGACGCCACGAGTCCTTAAGCCGCAGGACCCTAGGGAAGAAGAGGCTGCAGGGACCGGTCTATCAGCCAAGTGTGAACGAGGATCAGGTGAGTATAACTTCTTTATTTTAGCCCCTAGACCAAAACGAGCAGTTAAGCCCCACTGCAAGGGTTCATTTTTAGACTTCCTGGAGTTTTTTTCAGTCCTTCTGTAACTATTTATTTATCCATCCATCTGTGTTGAACATTAGCTTGTCTTAACTTACCTATGATTTAATAAATGAGCATAAGTCAACATTTAGTTGCAAGAAAAAATTTCTGCAATGTC